ACACACACACACAAACAAACACACATTTACACACACAAACACACATATACAAGCACACAAACACACAAACACACACACATATACACACACAAACACACATACACACACGCACATATACACACAAACACACACAACACACACACACCAACACAAACACACATGCACACAAACAAACACACTCGTGCACAAACAAACACACACGTGCACAAACATTGATAAGCATAATATGACTGTGTGTGCGCACAATCATGTAGTCCTCCTTATATGTGTCACGACATGGTGGAATCAGGTGTTCGTCAATTTTTCGGTATGTTGAGATAATGGCATCATCTTAAAGTTGATTATATTCTCTTGATCTACAGGGAAAATGTACCCTTCTACTTTTGATAGAAATCTTGATATTCTTGATTGAAGCAGGTGGAGGTCGCCTGGTTTCAGAGGTAAAATGAGTGAGAAAATGGCCGACAAATTGTAGCGACTTCCATAGCTTGAAAGTCCTTTGAAACTGCAAATTTATATTATTGTGCCTTAAATCAACATTTTTCAGTAAAATCCACACAAAAGGGTGTTTTTAAAAGGACATTAAATATGTTGCGTCAAAAAAACAAAAATTTGATAAAAATTGCAAAATGGACAGAAAAAATGCCAGTTTCTTTGATTTCATTATTTTGACAAGCGCCTGATTTCACCACGAAGCATCGACCTTTTCTCTCCCTTCAAGCTTCAATATGTCACTGCAAATTTTGAATAACCCTGTGTCCAGATACCATAAATTGACCCCTCAAATCGACAATTGAAAACCAGCCCCCCCCTGAGGCTTGTGGCATTGAAAGCAGGCACATTTGCATTGGATAGTCTTAGATCTCGTGGTGAATGATGGTGAATTATTATTCTACACCACAGTTCACAGACTCTAGAGAGTATCACCCCAAACTGAAGCGGCAGGACAGTGGCATTTAAGAAAAAGAAAGACGCGCAGATTTCTTTGAAAGGTCTTTAAATTATTGATAGATCAGACTTTCCTTTCCTTTCCTTTCCTTTCCTTTCCTTTACTTTCCTTTACTTTACTTTACTTTACTTTACTTTACTTTACAGACATTACTTTCGTCTCTTTTCCTTTCCTTTCCTTTCTTTTACTTTACTTTACTTTGCTTTCCTTTACTTCATTTTCCTTTCCTTTCCTTTCCTTTCCTTTCCTTTCCTTTCCTTTCCTTTCCTTTCCTTTCCTTTCCTTTCCTTTCCTTTCCTTTCCTTTCCTTTCCATTGGAAACAAATTAAAAATGTAAAAAATAGATGAGGAAAACTATTAAAAAATTGAAGTTTTGAGAGAAAAACGACATTTTGTTACATAATAGACAAAAGAAAAGTTCTAGGACAGAAAATCTGAAAGATATTAATTGTAACAAAAAGAGTAAGCATTTTTTTTTAGATGTACAAGTGGTTGAAGTATTGTAATGCGTAAAAAGTCCAGATACCATAAATTGACCCCTCAAATCGACAATTGAAAACCAGCCCCTCCCCCATCCCCCTTGAGGCTTGTGGCATTAAAAGCAGGCACATTTGCATTGGATAGTCTTAGATCTCGTGGTGAATGATGATGGCCATGAAGGTTTGTGATATAGGATGGGAAACTGGTTCTTAGATGTTTAAAGCACATTAATGCCAGAATATTACAGTCAATCCTTGCGTTCCCAGACAACCAAAGGAGAACTTTTGAAAACGGTGAGATATGTGCCAGTTTAGAATTCCGGCAGTACCTTGTGTTTTAAAAAAGGACCAATTTAAAGAGCAATAACTCGATCATCTTTGGACCAATTTTAACCAAGCTTCGAAGAAAAAACATTCAGTCCTGAGGACGTTACGTTTCTCAATATTATGAAAGAAATCGATCGAAATGTTTCGAAAAATATTAATTTTTAAACATTTCAACCAAAATTGAATGAAAGGCAAAACTTTTCAACTTCTTAAAAACTAAAAAATAAACCATATTATTTTTTCCATTTCAAATAGTCACAATTTGTGAATTGAAAAACGCATTTATTCAAAATTGATATTGCCACATAAACTGGGGTAGGGGATGTCTTTTGAAATCTCCAGGGGTCGACCATTTCTCTCCCTACAAGCTTCTATATGACACTGCAAATTTGGAATAACCCTGTGTCCTCTTTCTATGTCGATTCTTTGGACGTCAAGTTCAACATTAAGTTTCAACTTTTCAATTTGTTGTGGGTTGTTTCCGTAGACTCTGTCACTCAATATTTAAAAAACAATAGGTTATAATTGATGGGGCTCAAGTTAAGGAAAGTGTGGTGAACGTTCATTTGTAAAATTTCAGCGTATAAGGCGTTCTCTAAACCTTTCTTACAGCCACACATGCCACTGGAAACAGGCCTCTACAGTATAATGACATCTACTATCCAAACTTCTTCAAAACATTCTCAGCGCGATGAGATACCGATCTGATGTGACTTTTATGGTTTTTACAGTCCTTGTCCTGAAACCAGAACATGTCCATCACACCCCTGTTGGGAAACATTGTTAAGAATTCCCCAATTTTGATTGAAATATTTAAACTTTAATATTTCCCTAACGTTTTGATTGGGGTTTTTTTCATATTTACTAACCAGATGTCCTCGTGATTGAATGTTATGTGTGTGAAGTTTTGCTGACATAAGTGAATGTGTGGTATTGCCGTTTAAGTGGATCCTCTTTCTTTTAGACACCCTGCACTAGTTTTGTCGCGTTGTGCAGTTTCTGTATTTATTCACCTTGTGGGCTCACTAAAGTTTTATTACAATAGATTTTCAACTGATGCCATTTTTCTCATGTTAACCGGCATGTCTTTTCATCTTTTCATGTACAAACCAAACTTATACATTTGATGTTTCTATAGTTTCCATAGAGGGCATGAATCCGAGAATTTTTTATTTTGTCAGTACACCTCATATACGGCGCTCATATGACCCTATGCAGTTGCGAGTGCCCTAAAACCTTATTAAAACCAAAAGTAACACCTCACATAATCATACAGTTTCAAAAAGAAGTATTAATCTGTCTTCTTTTTTCCTCAGAAATTTTAGTCATCGCCTCAATGGTATTGCTCATAGCCCTAATCCCAGAAGTCGGCTATGACAAGGACGATGATAAAGTAGGGTTCAGTTTTTATCTGGCCTTGTTCGGAGGTGTGTTCTCGTGGGCTGCCTTGAGTAAGTCCCGCTCTCAGAAGAAGAAGAAGAAGAAGAAGAAGAAGAAGAAGAAGAAGAAGAAGAAGAAG